GAACCGGGATTCGAACCCACAATCATAGGTTTCTAGCGTGCCCAGTGGACGCAACTCTGCACAGCGAATCGCAGCGCCTTAGGCCACTGGGCCACCCGTGGCCCCTATTCATCATGAAGGCCTGATACTTTGCACTGGAGCCTTTGGGACTTCTCCTATTCATATTCTGTACGTGGAGGCGGATGAGCCATCCCTGAAACAACACCGTCTGAAAGTATCCATACAAGACATCACCAAATGATATTCTACTAAGTCAAATCTAGCTTTTTATCCTCTCTGCGAAGATATTTACAAGAAGGAATCATTTCTTGTTCCACCACTCGGAATCAGAATAAAATCGGTCATTTCTGCTTCTAATATCAAACTTCAAGATATAACTCTCAATCGACTTTTTCCATCGTCCCCTTGGCAAATTGTAATGCCTGGGATAGACCTACTACTAACAAACCTGAAGAAATCAGATACCAACGAACTAATTCAACAACGAGAATACAATCAGTGACACTTATGAATCTATGTTTACAGATGGATCCAAGGATGGTGGCGCAGCTGCAAGTGCCACTATCATTGGATCCAGAACAATATCTTCAAGATTACCAGATAAGAGTTTCATATTCTCTGCAGAAGCAAATGTCATTTAAACAGGTCTACAATATATGAGGGGCGGTCGGGTAGCCTAGTGGTTAAAGCGTTCGCTCGTCACGCCGAAGACCCGGGTTCGAATCCCGACATGGGTACAATGCGTGAAGCCAATTTCTGGTGTCCCCCGCCGTGATATTGCTGGAATATTTCTAAAAGCGCCGTAAAACCATACTCGCTCACTCACTACAATATATGAATAGCCACTCTAAACATAAACAGTTAATATTTTTTTCAGATTCTCTTTCGTGCCTCCAGGCTATTAAAAACATGTGTTTGCACACATTCACTTTTAATCGAAATTGTTTAATGAGCCTGCTCCAATACGACATCGGTTTTCGTTGATTACCGAGCCATGTTGAAATCAATGACTGATAATGCAGCTAAAGCTGCACTCAACAAATGTGTGACACCACTCCTGTCCTATACAGTGAGAATATACCTGTGATCAGATGTCAAGGATCTTGTGCAAAAGATTACATCAAATTAAAACATCTATCGGTTACGCTATTGGTCACGGTAAATATGGTCTTGAATATTTATTGAAAGGTGGGGAACCTCCGTTTGTATTCTTTGTAAGGAAAGAAACACAGTCAAGCATGTCCTGCTTGACGGTATTCATTTTTCCATCACATGGGATAAATGTTTCCTGAGCCCTAAATGTAGGCAACAATACCTGTCTAAACAGGGTATTTGAAAATGGTCATTAAGTACAAAGTGCTGTCTTCCGTGAAAGCAATCAGCATATAAGGATTATTACTATCCTATACGTGCAGCAACCTGATCTCTCATTACAGTATATATGAATACCCTAAACATGTTCCTACCTGATCTCATTGCTGTTATACTATATTTTATTATTTTTTGTATATGGGGCACTGGCCGCCAATACAGAAAAAAAAGAATTGAATTAAATAATTCGATTCGACAAAGAAGATGTACATATGTCTAGATTACTTTTTGTCACACGTGATTAAGTCCAATCTTAGCTTTCATCTAGGGGGGGGACATGGCTATTAATCCTCATGTGCGTCAACTTGTGTCCGTCACAACTGTATACAAACCAAGTGAATTACGAGTGCTGGTCAAAAGTTTCTAAGCCTCACCAACGTTCAATTATCGGCCATACCAAAGTGAACTAGTCAATGAAGTACATTGATTGAGTAGTTCATTGTAAGTGTATTTGGTCTGTTGAGGCCGTTTGTATATTAGTGACTGCCAGTTTAACGGGATAGGGGTCCAAATGGACACAAAAATGGAAAAGAACGAGTAGAGAGCAGTCGTCAAGTTTTTGACTTCAGAGAAAAGTACTCACCAAGAAATTCCTAACCGCATGTCACAAGTGTGTGGGGGTGGTTGGGTGGCCTAGTGGTAAAAGCATTCGTTCGTCACGCCGAAGACCTGGGTTCGATTCCTCACATGGGTACAATGTGTGAAGCCCATTTCTGGTGTCCGCCACCGTGATATTGCTGAAATATTGCTAAAAGCAATTCTCACTCGCTCACTTACAAGTGTATGGGGAAAGTGCCCTAGCTGTTCCGATGTTAAATGTAAGGCAGATACATGTATGTTTAAGGCTGGGAGAACAAGCCCTGATGATGACCCTAGGTCTGGACGTCCCTCAACTTCCATCAACTACCCCCACTCAGACACATAGAAACTGATATCTCAGAGAAAAAAAATAATTAAACTTGTTCATTTATATTTTATTCAATTCACATTGATAGGATCAGTCGACATGCATGCGGGAAACGATCGCACGATGCTGGAAATAGAATAATTACCAAATAGACAAATAGCATATGTCTGCAACAGACTGACGTGTTTTTCAAATAATTATACATAAATATATATTATACACCAGTCTGCAACAGACTGACGTGTTTTTTCAAATAATTCTTAAGCATTTACATTTACATAATTTTAATTGCAAACTTACCATAACATTTGAAACTGAATGTTTGTTTATTAACGGATTGTGCATGACCGTGGTTTATTAAAATAACAATACAAAATTCTTTTTGTATTCATGATTGTTTCATTATACGTTATATTTATATGGTATATTGTATAATCATATTTACTCATAGAATACCGTAGTATCCCCCAAAACACTAAAGTAAAGGAAATTAAATATATGGCTTACACATTTGGAGCACTGAATATTAGTCCCTCTGTCTGAAGCCAATTCATTCAAATAACGCCCATAACATTTGGATGAGACCCATCATATAACGGTACATGTCAAGATAACCTGGCAAACTGGTCATTGTAAGTGAGAGTATAATCACAATATAAGCACTTTTAAGGTTATTGATGAACCCCTCACTGTAATGTTTGAATCCATTGTTCAACTCCCCGCGCTCTTGGAGTTACTTTGAACAAAATCCTCGATGAAGGCGAACGAGATATGCAGGACGAAACGTTTGCTGAGTTCAAGCCCGTGTAGCGCCGTAATTTCCGGCCACCTTCTTCTTGTTTAACTCAGCGGCGAAGCTGACAGGTGTCACTTGATGGTTGTTTTAAAATAAATAGGAGGTATTAGATGAACACGATTGTGTAGTCTATGGTTTGTTTAGCAAGAGCCAATAGGTTGAAATAAGTGACATTCATATTTCATGCGATATCGAGCTGTGATTCGAACCGAGTGCAAAATTTTGAATAAGGACCAAGATGGCGGGTGTCACTCCTTGTCTATATGTATATAGAGGAGTGTGATTTTTTTCTATACGAAGACATTATGCTATACAGGCTATCGTCGAGTTCCTGTGGTTATACTGTTTTTGAGCAGACTACTGCTTGTTTTATCCCCTTAAAGCCGGACGCCAGGCTGTGTAACAAGTACCATATATTCACTTATTTTGATAGAACGCGACCGGGGATGGCACCAGTCCGCAGTTATAATGACAAATTTAGAAAAAAATGTTGTTGTTTTTATGATGAGGGAAGCAAGAATATAAGATAATAATATCTACATGCGACAGGAAATTAAATTTTAACGTAAACCACATTGAAGAAATGAAACGCAATACACTTTTCTACCTCCAAGCCACTCCTAAAACTGATAGCAATTAAATGTTATGCCTCAATAAAGTGTGGGGTGACAAATATCCACCCTACACAGAAAACACAACCACATGTGGTATTGGTCGATGCACTGACATATGTTATTTAAGACCTCATCTCGTGAGTTTATACCATATTAATTTTAAATATAATAATTGCAATCTTCCAATCCTACTTATGTCAATGCATTTTAGGAGCGAATAACTATTACTGCACGCTGTATAACAAAAACATGAAACGAATTATCTTATTTACACACTTTCGTAATTTATGAGTGAGTGAGTTTGGTTTTACGCCGCTTTTAACAGTATTCCAGTGATATCGCGGCGTGTCAGCTTAATGTGGGAGGAAAGCCCCAAGTGATGCAGGTCTCAGACGTTTACCACTTCGGTGAAACCCACGAGCACGGGTATGGTGCTGACAAACCTAGAAACATAATCGGGGCGAACCGGGATTCGAACCCACAATCATAGGCTTCTGGCGTGCCCAAGTGACGCAACTCTGCACAGCGAATCGCGGCGCCTTAGACGACTGGGCCACCCGTACCCCCTTTCGTAATATATGTGCATTGCTACTTGAATTGTGGTTTAATTTGAAACCCGTGTAAATGTGTGTATACTTGGCGGTCACATTATACATATATTTCAAGCTTTGTCTTATGGACCTCAGATTACACAAGAGAGATACACAACTTAGTTAAAACAATGACTGAGACATCACATCACTTGCTTGATAACTGTGTTGGTATCTACGTCGCAGTCATTGTAAAAAAGAAGTTACATATCCATGGAACTAAATCCCCTGTTCTTCATTGCAGCCTCTAAATGTCACAAAAATAAGTTACTCAGATTACACGTTCAATACCAGGCATTATTACTTTGGGAAAATACCGTTCCTTCGTGCGACATCTGACACCCGCGGCTCGAATGACACATAGAATATGTATACCGGCTGGTAATAATTATGCACAAGCTGTGTTGCAGCTTGATCGTTATGAAATAGACATGGATTTTGATTTGACATTTGTCTCCAAAAGTTGTTGGAAACTATCCTGCAAATGCGAAAGTTGTCAGTTTTGTAATATTATGTACAGCCTTTCAAAACTTGCCCTCTAAGTCTTTTTCAAGTTGTTCATGGTTCAGGTTGATCAATAGCAATATCACAATGGCCTCATTGTGAACGCATGGTTAGCAAGGCAGTCATGTTGAAACGGGGAACATTTGCTGGCAAGGTAAGAATGAATTGAACAGTGGAATACTAATTTGTGTTTGATCTTTATGAAGATTTTTTTCAAGTTTCAGTTTGTTTGTCGTGTGCAACAGAGAGGGGAGGTAATTCACACCTGACGTATTCACTTTGGTTTTACAACTGGCGATAGAAGTCGAGTGTTCGGGATCTACAAACTGGGTATGTGGGTTTCCTTTCCTCCCAGGGGGTGTATTTAAGAATGTGTAACTTACATGGGTTATTGTCTTACTACAGTAAACTACGGTTATAACGAACTCAAAGGGACCACTAAATTTAGTTCGTTATAACCGTAGTTTGTTAAAAGCATATTGACAGCATATATACAGAAAAAGGAAGGGACCAAAAACAATTTGTTATATCCATCAGTTCGTTATAAGCATGTTCGTTATAAACGTAGTTTACTGTATAAATAATCTTTGAATCCATGTAGCATAAATTCAACCATCTGTAGATTTCCCTAGGTTCATAAAATATTGAAATAGTTGGTGTCAGGACTGTATCTAGTCATATGAATTCTGCTGAGCTCCGTTGGTTTGCATGTATACTGATACGGACAATCAATAGTGCATCCTATTTCAATCTTGTGAATAGTGCAAACTGCACATACACAATCTACCTATTCTACCCATGGACTCAATGAATACACAGTTAATTTTGCATTGTCATATTGTGGGTGTGTTTCAGCTAACTGTTTTAAATGAACAAAAATACCTTTACTGGTTGTGTTTCCAAAATATATTCCAGAAAGGGAATGTATTGATTCAGGACATCTATTCAGTACCTTCGCCGAGATACTGAACACTGAACATTACATTATAATTTATATATATATATATATATATATATATATATTTATCATATTACTCACAAACGCCAATATACAAAAGCAAATTTATGTTTCACCAACCATGTTTTGCCTACTGAGATAAGTATTAAGTATTGTGATGTCCGTCTTTGTCTGTAGATAACCCCTTCGCAAGAGGTATGGACATTGAAACGGAAGAGACGTGTTTGTCCACCGTTGTCTACAGTGACACAGTAAGATGCTACTTACTTTCCGCAGTGCAGATCATTGATATTGTTGCATACTTTGTATAACGTGGTCACGTTTGTCGTTCGTGGTTCTATAGATATATAGACAGGGGCACAAGAGAATATGCCCAGGTTTTTTTTTATGTCATTGGAAATTGAAAGAACTGTTGTTAAATTTGATTATGTAAAAAGTAATCTGTGGTAATATTGTGTAAAAATAAATTGGCCCAATGAACCACTGTGGTAGGACATGAAGTTGAAACCACATGACCTCGGTCATGTTTGAAATGTACATTTGTGCTGAAATAAGCACAGATTAGTTCTGTTTAAAGATAAGATATCTAGGATACACATCAGCAGTTGTGTATTATGCGAAATTATTATCTTTTTAAATTCTGAAAGTTTTAAATCAAATTATATTTTGAAAGATGAAAAGTATAGTTGAGTACTGACTAAGCGCCAGTACAGTTCATTGTTTTAATACTCAAGGTATTTTCAATTGAAAATGAAACATATGATGAAATTAACTGCGAGGTATAGCATCATGTTCAACATACCACGTTTGGTACAAGATATTAAAAACCTTTTCCAATGTGAAATAGTCTAGCTGTACACACAGACCCGTCTCTGATCAAGCGTTTGCTCGTCATGAGGATAGCCCGAGTTCGATTCCTTACATGAGGTAATAGCTACATTTTAGGTGTCCCCGTTGAGATGTGGCTAGACTATTGTTAAAAGCAGCTAAAACCATACTTACTCTGACAAACTTCAGTAAGATGTCCCAATGCAATATCTTTACAGGCAGAAAACACAAATCCAAATCTCGAAAACGGGAATGTGACGAAACCTCAATGGTCAAACAGATTCCAGTCGATCATTGCTGTTCTTGGCTTCTCAGTGGGACTTGGCAACCTGTTGAGGTTCCCGTATGTTTGTCAAAAGAATGGAGGTGGTAGGTATCAGGTCATCATTTGGATTGTTCCTTTTAAGTGATGGCTGCATCATATGCAGTTTCCCATTTGCGCTACATAAGTTTATCATAAAGCTACCACTAGTTCAGATTTCTTTTGTCCCTTCGTTGTAGTGCTGGAGGCATGCTTAAATGGCGTAAAAACCTACTCGTTCGATCATAAACATCATGATAGCCATACCATAAGCATTCCATGTTTGTATTCCATCTGAATGTAATATGTAGAATGCAAGCTATCGTAACATGAGACTCACTTAATATTTAACCAGCTGTTGTATCACAGCTTTTAACATGGATATGTTCGTGATGCTTCTCTCACTTCAATTACAAATGAAATATGGCAATTTATTAAATTTTTGTAAGCTTTTGTATCCCTATTTCTACACAGGAGCGTTCCTGATTCCTTATGTCATCTCTACTACACTGATAGCTATCCCTCTCTTCATCCTGGAGGTTGCCATTGGTCAGTTTTCTGGCAAAGGCCCCATCAAGGTTTGGGCAATATGTCCGCTCATGAAAGGTAATGACACTCCTACATCTTGGATAAGGCTTTTGTGACTACTAATGTAAGATCTGGCCCAAGAACGGAAATATATTACAACTTGTTTATGACCCACAAACATGGTGCTAAGAAACCTAGAAACATAATCAGAGTGAATCTGCGATTCGAACCCACGATCATAGGTTTCTGGCGCATCTAAGGGACGCAACTCTTCACACTGAATTGCTGCAACCGTGCATTCATGTCAGAACGGCCTAGGTATATGGCGGTATTACACTTTCTGTTTCATATGTTCATTTTCATAATGTTATGCTTTATGGGATATAGCGGTAACCACAAGAAACACATTTAGAAATATTTCTGACACAAGAACGTGATACATAATATTCATAATTTATGTAGCTACTGAACGGTATGAAAAGAGTATGTATTTGATGTATTATTCGCCGAAATGTAACTATGTATACAAAACTGATGAAATTACAGTCTAGAGCATATGAATACATAGGAGTCAATTGTTTGCATCATGTCAGTCTGAAAGTTGTAAGCGTGGGTCACGTATCAGTTCGCTGGACGATTTGTCTTCTTCTTTGACAATGTTTAACCTATTTATAAAGCGCCAATAATTCAGGACAAAATGAAACGTTGAATATCATCAAGAAGTATGCCGTTGTGGTCATTTTAGTCCAAGGGCGGGTGCTCTTATTTAAAACGTGAAGGACAAGGTCGGAAACATTAACTTCCTGATTTGCCTAATTTTTGTAATATGTTGAGAATAAATCATTGATGTTCTCAAAAATTGCATTATTCAGGGAAATCATCTGGGCAATTTCTGAACCAAGGTATCAATGGACAAGAAGTCTTTGATAGCTAGTTGGAAGCTAGAAGTTGGAAGAACATGAATACATGACACCTTTCGTGGATAACAACTTCTTGTATTCCTTGTAACGATGTTTAATGGTTATTTCCTGATGGAGGGGCAAGAAGTAGCACTGAAACGTCGTAACAAAGTTGTTATCCATAAGAAGTGTCATGCATCATGGGACAGTATATCACTGATTAACTCAACAATCCGTCTGTGATATTTTACGTTACAGTTTCACATTCCACATTTCTAGGTATTGGCGCCTGCATCCTGTCAATTTCGTGTATGGTCATCCCCTGCTACGGCGTGGTGTTTGCCTGGACCCTCTACTACATCTACAACTCCTTCTCCACCGTCCTGCCCTGGACAACCTGTGGCAACTCATGGAACACACCGCGATGTATTGCTGTAGGCGACACACGACGAAACAGCTCCATGTATGCACAGTTAAAACCTGTTCAAGCCATCAACACTACAGAATATCGACATGACGGAATTGGTTATAAGAATATTAACACAACCGAAAGGGTATCAAATGCGTTCGATCATACCTCAACTGAACAGTTTTTTCAGTGAGTATATTAACAATATTATGTACATTCAGGCAGGGCATGAGTCCGTGTTCATGCAATGCTTGCCCTTTATTATGATACACACATTCAGGCAGAAAAAGAGCTAATACTCACTAAATACTGACAATGTTTTCAGTTAGTGATTCATCAACTCATGCTTATGATTTAGTCTGAATACAATGGAGCGCGGACCAGGGCCCACTTGCACAAAGCAATCTTAGCGCTAGGACTATCGTAAGCCTATGTTAAAGTATGGGAGTTAGCGCTAAGATCGCTTTGTGCAAGAGGGCCCAGGTAACAAAATATGCTGACTGCATGAGCATGTCTCCATGCAGTCGGGATACAATAATATACAATCTGGCTTGAAACACTTGTTACCAACCGATTCTCAGTAGGCAGCATTTACATCATCATGAATGCACCCAGAATGAAAACAGGATCATTTAGACTGGTATGCAGTAGACCAATATGAACATATCTTTCTGGGATTGCACTTAATCCTTCATCAGTTGAAAGTCTTCGACCTTTACTCTGAATGAATAAGAACATACCCTGGGGCGTCATGCGTTTTCACAAAAAAGGCGTCGACATCACTCAAATCAGGACTGGACAGCACAGTGGTCTAAGGCGACGTGTTTTAAGTCCACCTGCTGATCTCACTAATCCTGTATACGAATACACCTTATCCCCCATATCTGTGCTCGTGGTTGTCAAAACTGGTAACATCTACAGCTGTGCAACTTTAGGCTTTCTTTTACATTACTTGAAATTCAGTCACTAAAGGTTGGTCTTTTGATCTAATAAAGTAGAAATTGCAATATTCAAAGTTTTAACTTACAGTACAGTAATGCATTCATTAGATTTATTGTGACCATGTGCATCCACGAATCTGCATTAATAGAGTTTGACAGACTCTATGGTTGTTGTGAAATGCTTTGTTCAGCTTTTGTTTAATTTTGGGTCAGCAGAATCAGTCTGTAATTGTGGGAAACAACTTGTGTCATCACCTTTTCCTTTTATGTATGTGTGGAGGTGGAATTATTTATGCAGCACATCTTGTGTATTCTTGATATTCTTTGTTTGGTGTGTTTGTTCTTCTGAATCAGTATCATTCTGTTATACGTTATTCATATTGTTGTAATTCCTTTCCAATTTGACGTTTGAATATTCAACGATAAAGCATTTCAAGAGCACAGTTATCCAGACACTGATTTATGTGTCGTTACTCTCCAGGTATAAAGCTCTAGGTGTTTCGTCAGGGATAGAAGACCTCGGCTCCATGCAAGCTCATCTCGTCATCTGCTGGTTCATCACGTGTGTTGCCATATTCCTTTGTATCGTAAAGGGAATCAAATCGTTCGGGAAGGTAACAACACATGTTGTACAGTTTGTGATTGTCTTTTGTGTCATACACATTGACTATTATTTTTCAAAACAAAATCCAATTAATTTGGAAACAAATGTTTTAATTGGTCTTCCTTGTAACCAGATTGTCAGCAGCATCTTTGTAAACGTCTGCTCTCTAAATGCATAAATATTCTAGAAATTCAGTCCTTTTTCAGCAGTGATGACGATCCAACCATGAATAGGACCATGTCTGTTGTATTGGGTAAACAATTTGCTCGAATAAGGCAGATATTTTATTCAAGTGAAATGTGGTATACGAGGCTCGACAGATATGCCCCTTTATCTTGTATGTTACATTTTAACGGTGAACATGCTCACTCTGCCAGTTTGTGATCATTAGTCTTCCATCTTTGAAGAACAATTATCTGGTATTTGGGCACAGTGTATACCGGCTTAACATTAATCTTGATGACAGCACATGGTAACAGCTTGAAGTTTTAGTTTGATTTGGATTTACTGTCTATTTGGATATTCCGAACAACAAAAGTCAGGGATCATGAATATGTTTTGGGACATTTTTGTAATGAAATTTTGTGCTCTTCACTTTAAAAAACGTATTCCTCCAAATACTGATGACCAATACCTTTTTCGTTAAGTAAATGTGACTTTGGAACATTAATATGTACAGTGAAATGTAGAATCGACTGCATCTTTCCTTGCATCACTCATGTATGTTAATTTTTTATCAACCGTCTTTACCAATGTCACTGTCTAAATCTTTGTAGTTCAGGTATGCAGCTTATCAGTCATTTGTCCGATCAAGCACTCATCATGATATGTCTTTATTTGTAACTGCCAACAGGTGTTGTATGTAACAGCGTTGATGCCGTACGTCCTACTGCTGGTGTTGCTGGTGAGGTCGTGCACGATGCCGGGTGCTGTGGATGGGATTCTCTTCTATCTCACTCCAGATTTCACCCTCCTTCAGCATCCTCAGGTGTGCGGAGGTCACGATTCTACGATGCATGCTTTCATTTGTTTCATGAAATGTTAGATCAATGTTTCAATTTAAATATTTGAAAGCATTTGTTTTACTATTTCTCTTACAGATATACAGCAAGTGCATGCTAAAGTGAAGTAAATAACATCGAATGAGGTCAATAGTCATGTGGAATTTCCTGGTATAAATTAATGCTTAACCACTGTTTAGTTTGGTTGAGGCATTTTAGATATAATCTGTTTGTGGAAATGGTTGAAAACATTCACTATTAACAGGCAATCACGGATACTTGGAAGTAGAATGTGGACAAGGCTTCCGACGTCGGATCAGAAAGTCCGTTTTTCGAACCCCATCACCGGAAGTTTATGGCCACGTCAAAATAACGTCTCAGTGCCCAACTATGCGGCCTTCTTTTGACGGGAAAGTATGTAGCAGGGCGTGGGGTCATCCCACAGATGACCCACTTGTACCTTGTCAGCTTGATAACGGGGTTAACCTCTTTGGTCATGTGGACAAGGCGTCCGACCTCGGATCAGAAGGTCCGTGGTTCGAATCCAATCATAAAATTTTATGGTCTCTACATTATGGTTAGGGATTAGGCCATTTAAGACCCACAAACGTATACGTCAGTTCTTATTCTACTTTCTTTCTGTTTCTTCAGGTGTGGCTTGAAGCTCTGGTTCAAGTGTTCTTCTCAGTTGGTACAACCTGGGGTGTCATTATTGCCATGGCAGGACACAATTGTTTTCATGCAAATGTTATCAGGTAAATTTCCTTCTCACTTTGTATGATGCAGGACATGTGAGATGAAACGTACAGGCACATAGTTACCAACGAAGTGAAACACACGAGCAAAGTTGTAGAACAAATATGGAATTTGGAACTCATGTCATGGTTAAAGGACGCAAGCCTTCACAATAAATTGCTCCACTTCAGACGATTAGGCCACCCGTGCCCCAGATTTCAGTGAAGGAGAATTTATTAAAATAATCATCAGTATGACAAAGGATCATGGCATTTAACATCACACTGTTACACATCACAAATTTTGAGCTCATGGTACGTTGTAAAAAAAACCCAAAAGTGACCTTTCCTTTTTTCACAAAGATAAAGATTCAATGATCATTGTTTTGTCATCAGCCACAATTGGCCAACAAATCTTATACAAATTTTGATCAAATATTTGGTTGTCACCATGAGCAACGATCGTCCTTCAAAGTATGATGCCATACATTCAGCCAGGTCACACAGTTAAACCATCAAACCATTCTTTGCCACTTTTAGTTACAGCCATGGGGTATTGCCGACCATTGCTGCTATGGAATCCTAACCTTGGTCACTCAAGATCATCAAGTGTTCCCTTCACTGGGGGCATACCATCATTATAGATGTAATGCATGTCGTGATAAAACATGCAACGAAATTAAGAAAGTTTTCAAAATACAGGGACCCTATCATCGTGACGGTGATTGGCGAATTGACGAGTGTATTTGCTGGCTTTGTGGTCTTCGCGACAGTTGGTTTCCTGGCTCATGATCTACAACTACCTGTAGCTGACGTCATCACTCCAGGTGAATAAGCCTGGTATATTGACAAAATCGTAATACTCTGAATAAAAGCTTTGAATAATGTTACTCACAGTGTACGAAACAGGTCATGACATTGATTCATCATGAAGCTATCAGCTCTTTGAAAGGCATTTAGACGTGATTCACATAAGGAAGAGAAAATATGGATGTCAACTTCTTTTTTATGAGGAACACAACGTTTCGGAGTATATGCTTACTCCTTCATCACCTGATATATACTCCGAAACGTTGTGTTCTTCATAATAAAGAAGTTGACATCCATATATTCTCTTCCTCATCATGAGGGTAGTTGAGACATGATTGTGAAGACTACCAATCACATTTAGGGTTGAATACAATATCTTACTGATGCCTTGACGGAACTGTTCCAACAAGCACCAGCTCAACAAACCTGGTTAAAGAATACATTCCATCAGGATCAAAATGTCATAACAGGGATTTAATCATAATCATGTTTAGAGACGTGTTCGTGAAGGTTTCCCTGTTGTTTTCATTCGCGGTTTGTGTTGTAGTTTGAATGTCCAGTATACCGCTTACATGTCTTTGGCATTACGTATGCTGTTCATGCAGGTCCTGGCATTGCCTTCATCATCTACCCAGAAGCAGTTGCACTACTGCCACTACCTCAGCTGTGGTCTGTCCTGTTCTTCACTACAATGCTGATGATGTCTGTCGACTCAGTGGTAACAAACCACAGTAATACATGATAGGCTAACTCTGATCAAGCAATACATGGTCATTTCCCTCTTTAGCTTCATTGGTTCCCACTACCTCTGGCCTGTCGTAGGAACCGACTAAGTGAGTGGTCAGGCTATGTGGTTGCTCTCGTGCCTTGATGATGTGGGTCGATAGTTATGCCCTCAGTCCCTGGTTAACTGGGAGGAGGCTCGGTCATTTACTTGATGTTGCTGTTGTGGCTGGAATATTGCTGAGATTTGCGTTAACATTATTCACAATTCACTCACATATTCATATCTCTGTAAAAAAGCAAGGATATGTTTTGTTTTAAACTAAATGAACACACGTTTCATTGCTAAGTTGAATACAGTTAATTTGAACTCCCCAATGCGTTATTATTGCTTGCACTGAACCTAAGGAGATGTGTCTTTCAACAGGCTGGAAACGTCGAAACAGCTATTGATTGCATAGAAGACATTCTGCCACGGCGGTATCACATCAGACCTGTCATCGCTGCTGTCTTCATGGGGGCCATGTTCCTTGCTGGCCTTGTTTTTACCACCAATGTAAGCTTTCTCTTATCAAACAGTAACAGTGCATACATTGGGCATTTATATAGACAAAACGTCCGCTTTGTTCTGGAGTTAAATGGCTAAATTTACATTGAATATCTTGAAACGAAATATTCATATTCCTATTTATGTTTCTATAATGGAAACAGGTTAGTTTTTTATAACAGTTCCTGAAATTGCCCATAAGCAAAACTGTATTGAACAATAGTCCATCTGGTAGCTTTCAGAAAATTCGAGTTATATATAAATGCATGATTTTTGGAAAACTTTGGCGTGATGATATGTGTATGTATTTAATAATACTGTCGCCCAAAAATAAAGGGAAGTTTAGATGACTTTGCACATATTCCAGGGTGGAGTCTACGTGTTCCAGCTGGTCGACTGGTACATGGGAACAGTGGCCTGTTTCGTCATGGCCATTCTTGAATGTGTGATTGTTGGCTGGTGTTACGGTATTTTAAAATCAAATTATTTACACAACCTTTGTCATGTATCTTTACTCGTCAAGCTCGATGTTAAGCTGTTTAGTGCAAGATATGATCTGCTGCCACTGTGACGCTGGCACTTCAAAATGCATCAGTTGGTTTCCAGGAAGTTGCGTGTGGGCCTATTGTGAGAGGAATGCCCGAAGTCATGCAGGTCTCAGACGTTTACCACTTCGGTGAAACCCACGAGCACGGATATGGCGCTGACAAACCTAGAAACATAATCGGGGCGAACCGGGATTCGAACCCACAATCATAGGTTTCTTGCGTGCCCAAGGGACGCAACACTGAACAGCGGATCGCGGCGTCTTAGACGACTGGGCCAGCTGTGCCTTACCACTAATAGGGGTAGTGGTAGTAGTAGCAGTAGTAGTAGTAGTATAAGCAGCATCAGTAGCAGCAGCAGTAGTAGTAGCAGTATTATTATTATTTGTATTATTATTATTATTAGTAGTAGTAGTAGTAGTTGTAGTGGTATGGTACTGGCACGTGCATTGCCTCGTCCTGATTATACATCGTCTGGAGCGTGTTACTAATTCATAAATTTTCTTATTTTCAAAGCATGATAAATGAACATAGATACATTTCTCATAGTTCCTGTATTATTATTATTATCATATGTTATTGACGCTTTATCCCTGTGCATGTTGACAGGTGCTGAACGTTTCTCATCTGACGTGGAGGCCATGATCGGGAAACGCCTGCCTGTAATCTACAAGATAGTGTGTTTCACCATCCTCCCAGTTGTGTTAACTGTAGGTGTTGGTGGTCATTAATGTCTGAATAGCAACTGTAGGCAAGGGATGTACACATTCCTCTTCCAAAGGGTGGATTTGTCATCTAGACACACTAATATACTGAATCAGAATAAACTGAAGGTTTTGAGCTAATTTGGCTCATGTCTAATATGCAAAGGTTTTTGACACTAGAGGAACCTTTATGGTTTTTATGAACTAGGGTGTTTTCTTTCCGCACTTCGTGACATAAGAAAGTCAAAGCTCTTCGCCACTCACTGAAGACAATAAAAATATTAAAACTGTATCATGTATTGCCAGTTACTTTTGCACATTTACCGGTACAATCCTTAGATTTGTTTTTTGTCATACGACTCTTGCATGGAAGTTGTCCGATCAAGGTTACACCATTCAAGGCCTCAGTAACGGTTTCAAAACGTTTTATGGTAGACAAATGTGACGCATAAGTGACGTGCTCACGATATAGTCGGTATCGTATTCATCAGATGTTTGTGATGAATATGGAAAGGGTTTTGTAGCTCTTATTTGCAGGTTGGTTAAGATGTTGAATGGAGGTGTTGGCGAAGGGGCTGCTTCTGTATTCGACAGTACTTGCAGACACATGTTGTCATCATGAACTGACCAAATCCTTCCAGGGCCCGTGATGATCCGGGGTAGAATTGGTCTTCAGCAAGCCATGCTTGCCGTAAAAGGCGACTGTCGTTGTCGTAAGAGGCGACTTATGGGATCGAGTGGTCAGGCTCGCTGACTTGGTTGATGCATGTCATCGTATCCCAAATGCGTGGATCGATGCTCATGATGTCAATCACTGGATTGTCTGGTCCAGACACGATTATTCACAGACCGCCGTCATATAGGTGAAATATTGTTGAGTGCGGCGTTAAACAATATACAAAAAAAACATCCTTACAGGTTGCTTTGGTTTCGACTCTGGCTTCCTACAAGCCGCCATCATATGGCGAGTACGACTACCCCAAGGCCGCTGTTGTCGTCGGCTGGTTTATTGCTCTGGTGACCATCGTTCCTATCCCAGTTACCATGGTGATACAAGTACTCAAGAAGGAAGGATCCCTGGGTCAGGTATGTGTCAACCCTTGACACACTCGGAAGTTAAGATGTTGAATGAAAATTGTCACAAAGTTTAAACCAGCAAACAGTGGGCATTTCGTGATTTGCTCAGTTGATTAATTCCACCTCTAGAGTCAAACTCTTCGTACTTAATGCAAACAGTCAAATTAGATTCGCATTGATGATCTCTTAGGGATCACCCCAAGAGGCCAACAATTTGATAATTTAGCTGGGGCAACCGGGTGGGCAAACGGGTAAGTATTGGTTAAAAGCGACTAACGGGATCGGGTAGTCTTGGCGAAGACGATAAAGCATGTCATCGTACCCCAATTGACTAGATCGATGCTCATGATATCAATCATTATAGTGTCTGGTCCAGACTCGATTATTTACAGACCACGTTGCTGTGGATATTGTGGAGTTAAACAACAAAAGGATGTATGGTATAAAAAAGGATGTTTGTTCAAGACAGAATATGGTATCAGGTTGAAATGAACCACAGAAATCGGTGTTTTATCCCTGGCAAGGAAAGCCAAACCAGTTTGGGATCCCACAACTCATTGTTTTTCAAAGCATCCAGCATGACCAGGGACGGATTAATTTTGTATGGTTCAGTCACGGGACGAATTATTGTTTTAAAGAATTTTCACTAACATCATGAATTTCTTTTTTTCAAACGTCTCACTTGAAAATTACGCTTGGTCGCTTGAGTATCAGTGTTGTCATTTCAGTAATTTGAATATCAACTGGTTCATAAAGAAATATGTAAAATATATAAACCGCTCTTGGACTGACAGTTTGTCATTATGATGAACGTTATCTTCTTACATATATAAGTAATGGTTCTACGAGTTTCAGAGCCAAGGGGGCAGTCGGGTAGCCTAGTGGTTAAAGCGTTTGCTCGTCACACCGAAGATTTCATTTTTGGTGTCCCACAGCCGTGATGTTACTGGAATATTGCCAAAAGCGGCGTAAAACAATACTCCCCAACTCACTTTAGAGCCAAGGAAGCATATGGAATTTACATTACAAGCCGCCGGTCAGGCTGGATACGCTCTGGTCACCTTTTCACGAACATCTGATATCAACACTAGTTTAAAGGTTTCCATAAATACATGCGTAGGATAGTCACTTTTCCTGATTTTTCTCAATTTCATATATTGCACTATAATCCCATTTCATCCTTCAATGTTTCATTATCTCTTACCTGCTGCAAATGTGTTTCAGCGTGTGAAATCAGCCATGAAGCCAAGCTCTAGTTGGCCAGGCACCAGAGTGCGACATGGGAGGAGGAAGACGATGGAGGCGATGAAGGACAACTTCCTGTTTATTATCGGACTAAAAAAATAACACAGTAGACACCCATATGTATGGATACACGTCGATGTTCCATTTCAACACAGGGCACTATTTCGCTGAGTAAAAAAGTGTACAAAATCACATAAACATATCTCAGTTCTAACCTCTGGTATCAAATGCCTCATTCCTTTCGCATTACGTTGTAGTCATGTATACTTCGGAGTCTGCAGGACTCTCGGTTTAAAACTGTATCCACGTTGAACCATCAGTCCACAATATCAAACGACATACGTTTTATAAACGCTACCTTTTTTCCCCCTGTTGCTGGTGTAGACACGAAATGTCAAAGGTCAAGGTCATTTGCAGTCGGTACGTTTGGTGCCCACCTTCTGACTGCCACACATAGTCTGCCCATGGAAGCAATGAGGGTATGAATGAGACCAGCGGGAACGATTGCCCAATCAGCCTATGGGGGCAGTGAACGATGTCGCAGTGTTTGCGGTTGTCGTTAACACTGTCTCACCTGCCTTTCCGACTTATTCTATAAATGTTCGATAACGTTCAAATCTGGACCAATAATGTTGTTGGTTTGTACTTGTGCCATTGTGAGTCTTGATGTGTGCGGTCTTTCATTAACTTTCTGGGGGCATTGGCCTTCTGTAAAGTGGGAGCCACATCTGGCTGCAGAATTTCACATGGTACCTTTGTGCAGTTGACCCGAACCATGAATGACCTGCTCTCGCAAGCGAAATTTGTCACTTATCTGTTTTATATTGATTATGATGTATGTCACTAACCTTCCCCCACACTTACCTAGCAAGTTATCGTATGTTGGTTTGCACATTCCACCTCACCTGTGGTCTGGGGGAACACCCTGGGCTCTGCCGCTGCAACCCCTGCAATTGCTGAAGAGGCAGGTCAAGTCCTTTATACACACTACATGTGCATGGGACCGAGGACATACCTTTTCGGAGAAATACCAGTATGGCATTCAAATTGTTGTATTCAACAGGTGTGTCGAGATAATAAAAATTACATATCTTGAAGCACACGACTTTGGTTGTTCCAGCGACACTGCAATTGAGTCAGATGACACGTAGCACCGCAGGCGGTTCACCGTTTAGGCTGAAGTCCAACACAAACTTGGTATGACGGATGCTCTGGTCCTGGGCTTTGGTGGTCACATTTGGATGCCATGATGCCATATAGAACCAAACCACAATAACATCATTTTGAGATATGATCCACTTAAAAAACATATCTGGTGTTTAATGTGAACAGCACACAATGATTGTTCAGCTATCATGTGCTAAAAAACACTTTTGTTCAACTATAAATAACGCTTACGCGTTGCCACTGCTTTCTGAGAATAAACGCCTTCGCGCCGTGGGTTACTTCGAACAGGAACGGCCCAACATTCTAATGTTCATCGAAACACACAATATAATGTTTCTACAGCAGGGCAACACTCATGACGTGCCACGGGCCGGAGGTCCACCAGTTACCTCACGTCAACAAGACAACTGTATACGGTGGGTGCATCTACGGAACCGATACCAAAGAGTTACATTAACAGCTCGGACAATTCCGGGCTTTTGTCCAATTAATTGCAGAACCGTACGCAACCAGTTAACCCAGCGTTACGCACACTTTTGTTTCCACGTCACTGTCAGACACGCCTGGCTTGGTGTAGGCAGCATCTAAGATTTAGACAAGACTGGGACAGTATGCTATTCACAGATCCAAGTTTTATCTGGACAGCCTTTATTGTCGTGCGAAGGTCTACAGGCGTCCAGAAGAACGTATTTTTAGCAACGCTTGGGTGTGTAATGGTACTGGATGGCATCACAACTCACGGAAGAACACATCCCATCATTGTTAATGGCATTTGCAATTTCCCCCAAAGAACATGTCTGAGGGAAATGGAACGATGCATACGACCGAACCAGATCCATCCGGTGACGCCAGCTCAGTTGAATCAATCTTTGGTTGACATTTGGAACAACATTCTCCAGGCTGTTTTCAATCATCCGGTATCTTCAATGTGCCACCGCTGCCACGCCTGCTGCTACGCAAATGGTGATTACCACCAATATCTACATTGCTAATTGAGTTGTTACACCTCCTGTTACCATTGGCGAATTATGCAAACATAACAATAAGGTGCATTTTGTATGAATACAAACATCGTAATATGATATCAATGCACAAAGTGTGTTCATCTGTATCAACAACTATTATAATAATATACTATTATAATAACACATACGTCATTGATAAAAAAGAGAAAAGTTCGGTCCACAGATTATTGATTCTTATTGATGATTGTTTTACACGTCTTAATGGTATACGAAAGTAGTATAAGAGTATACAAGAGTATTTGATATATCGTTCGACAAGTAAGAGTCTGGAGATCCATGGAGTATTCATCTCCTCGAGGCAAGAGAGTTAACTGACTATAAAAGTCTTGTTTCCACCCTTGCCGAACTTGGCTGGAATACTTGGGCTCGATCGTAGCGCCACCAGTGGTTATTGCGAGTTACGTCCCTTCTGAGACTTTCCTATGGACCAATCAGATTCCATCACTTGCATTTGTTTCAAACAAAATGACGGCGCCCGGTCAAGACGAACTGATTGATAATCAAGATCTATGTTGTGATAAAACGGATCTTACATGGCGAAGTGCATCAAATCACGCGAGCACCTTGATTATAGGTTTGGAAAATATATGTTGACAACGAGTTGGCGGTGCACATGTTTTGCAAATCCTGCAATCGATCGAAATCTGCACTTACAGTTTATGAACCAGATTTCGATTTCGTTGCGCGATTTTGATTGGACTATGCATAGACTCGTTAGTCCAGCCAAAACGTAACTCCATAATACCAGCCTAGTTCGGCAAGGGTGGAAACTGGACTTTTAAAGTCAGTTAACTCCCTTGCCTCGGGGAGATGTTGAGTATTATGTATGACACCACACCACATAGAGCTTTATAGCTCTGAATTTACTGTTTCAACACCATGGGCCGATGTGCATTTTAAGACATCGTACCCCAATGGAACGTTGATGTGAGTGTGTGTGTCAATCACCGGTTTATATGGTAAACAAGCGATTATTTTCAGATTGCCGTTATATAGCTGGCAGTACTAAGTGCGAGTAGTGGCCCGACCCTCAAACTGCCGACATACCCTTCCCCATAGTATTAAGTATTATTATTATTGTTTATTCACAAAAAGGGTTAGGCCGTAGACCTATTACACAGAAGTATTTACAGAGAGAGGGAGAAAAAAGAATTACCACTAGTTTACATATACATCCATATTCATACACATTCATACACATTTATACACAAATAAATATTTAGACTGTATGTAATGAACGAAGTCGAAAAGCTTTGTAAACGTAGACTGCTAGATTTCGTATGATTTTAGAGTTAGTGGATGACATAAGAGCATTAAATTTATTTTTAGAAGGGGTTGTAAAATATTTAGGAGGAATGTATTCAGCTCTTAAATCATAATAAGCATTGCATACAAGCACAAAAATGATATTCGTCCTCAATAAAATTCTGGTTACACATCAAACACAGTCTCTGTTCTCTAATTTCCTTAATATATCGACCGGTCTCAATTCGCAGCCGATGGGAGGAGCATCTCAACTGAGCAAGAGCAGCTCTGAAGTTTGAAACATTTACTACCTTGATATAGCTTTCTAAGCCAAATGAAATTTTGTAAAGAGAGTAACTTTGGGATTTAGTGCTAGATGAAACAACTGCATGCCAATCTTGCTCAGACGAGGCTTTTAAACGGTTTACAAATTCCAAGATAAAACTTCTACTATTATTACTAAATTGCATCTCCCATATGTAGCCAAAACCAAACGAACAGAGAATGTGTTTGATTTTAGAGACCCAGTTGATCTTACCATTATTAACATCAAGTAATGATAATCTATAACATTTCTTAACTAATCTATTTTCAGGCAAATGTAAAATTCTGTACCAATAAGTAACTACACGCTTATAAGCACATATGTACATAGGATACCTTCCGCATTCCCCCCGAACCACATGATTTGATGAAGATTGTTTAACCCCAAGAAAGCGTTTACATGCTAGTATCTGGATTTGCTCTAATTCTTTGTAGGTATCTACACCCCAAATCTCGGCACCGTATAAAAGAATTGGAGATATTTTAGAATCAAAAATTTTGAAAAACAAGTCACAAGGAAGAGGTTGAAGCATTTTTAGAGATTTAATGACACCAAATAGGACCTTTTTAGCTTGTAAAGCAGCACTATTAACATGCAAAGACCAGGAGAGAGTTTTTGAAAGAATGGTACCGAGATATTTATAAGAACTTACACACTGAAGTTTTTGACCCTTGAAATACCACTTTTCATATTTTGATAAAATACACCCATTTTTAAAATACCACTAGCTTAGTTTTATCCAAGTTGACTGTTAGATGATAGTTACTACAAAAACTTTCCAGAGCTTTTATGCGTTTTTGAAGGCCATACACAGTATCAGCAATAAGTGCAACATCATCAGCAAACAACAATAGAAAAATCTGTACAGTGTCAGGGTGTAGCTGTACACCTGGAGTGCATGTTGATTCTATATACAAAGCTAAGTCGTTTATAAAAATAGAAAATAAGAATGGACTCATTACGCAGCCTTGCCGAAGTCCTAGAGGGCAATCAAAACATTCTGTAAAACAATTTCTGATCTTACCACAGCTTTTAACACAGGAATAGATGGATGCTAATGCATTTAACATTTTTGGGGACACACCTCTGGATTTAAGAACTAGCCAAAGTTTAGATCTATTTACAAAATCGAAAGCCTTTTTAAAGTCAACAAAAAGAACATATAATTTACCACGCTTCTTAGACAGATAATGCTGGATTACAGACTGCAGAATAAATATATTATCAATAGTGCTATAACCTTTCCTAAAACCAGCTTGAGAGTCACAAATTGTATCATACGCATCAGACCAGAACGTAAGTCTTGAATTAAGTACAGATACATAAAGTTTACAAAAAGTGCTGAGCAAGGAGATACCACGACTCGGGAAACGAACCATTTTCAAATAAAATGTTAAACAAGGTTGTTAGGTATGGTACTATTAAATCACTTGATGCTTTGAAAAATTCAGAAATAAGAGAATCATTTCCTGGCGACTTACAGTTTTTTAATTGATTGATAGCTTGCAACACCTCGTCTTCAGTTATACGGCTGTCAAGGATAGAACATGTGACATCATCAAAAGGATAATCTACACCATCTTTCGTAGTATCACGAGAGAAAACGGTATGCATATCTTGGAATAAATTTTAAAATGCGAAAACCAGTCACTAATGGGGATAGACGATTCCCTTTCTTCAACACCATAGTAGAACAAAGCAAACTTATATTTTTCTTTATGCCGTCGTATCCAGACTAGAATATTATAGCTATGGTCAAATGTTGTGGTGGCAGATACTGTTTTTGCGTCAAAATGCACATGTCTGTTGTAAAAGTAGAGAAAATCAATTAAAGTCCCTTAAAATGGTAGTGTAAGCATTGAGTCTTAATATCATTTTTTTAAATTATAGCCTCCCGCAAATTGAGTTATAAGTAAAAATAAGCTCCAAATGGTAGATTTGGCTCTGTTTTCATTTTCTAATGATTGGAACATGAATTGCTATGCCTTAATATCTCAAAATGAGCCAACAAGTCTTATGGTGGGATGGCAGTGTTCATATTCCACATAACTTTTATGATTTAAAAAAATGGTAATGTGATATCCAAACCCCCATTTGGTCAAAATGTGCATTTCTATTCTTTGTTAATTTAATTAATAATAGCTCAATACAACACATACATATCACCGTTTGTAAATACCTTTTCCATATAGGATATTTATATAAGGTTTGCTTAAAATCAATGATTTTTTTTAAACCACCGAATCGGTAAATTTGAAGGTCAATGTCATTTTGAAGGTCAAGTTCTTCAGTAATACAAAAACAGTATAAACAACTCTACAAATGCACATACAACTATCATTACTGGTTATGGGTATGCTTTGTAAGCCCAATAAAATATACGAAGAAACAAACAAAATATGTGCACATCAAAATCTAAATAACTACTCTCTCTAACAAATGGACAAGCAGATGATACTGTGGAATCAATCTCCAGACACATTAATGTATAAGGAAGCGAAGTTATGGATGTCAACTTCTTTATTATGAGGATCACAACGTTTCAGAGTATACAATTAACTGTTGGCTTCCTTTGTTAAGTTTCCATCAGCAGTAATTCACCTGATGAAGGAATTTATAAGTATATACTCCGAAACGTTGTGTTCCTCATAATAAAGAGTTGGCATCCATAACGTCTCTTCCTTATGTGTATCACTTTTAAATGTCATACAAAACTACATAAAGGTATGTTAACCTCAGAATCTGACATCTAAATCGTAATATCTATTAATACACTTTTGCTCTCAATACCCAGGGAGTGCACTGTTATGATTATATTTGTAATTACATACATGAAAAGGTTACTTAAAACCACAAAACGCGGAGAGTTCGGGATGACTAAACAACACATGAATATGACCGAGATATAACCGAGAAATATCTTGGCCATGCTGCGTCCAAAACACACGTCTGCACTTGTACACAGCAGCAGTAATTCAAAATTAACTTATCGCTTTTTAGTTTCCACAAAAACATTAAATGCGGTATCGTGTCACTGGAGTTTCCATCTAATCCATTACTTGATTACTTCTCTGGTTTGTTTAAGACAACCGTCGCATGGAAGGCAACATACCAACACTTACTTTTTGTGTGACTGGCAGGTGTTTCTGGGTGACAGGACATGCTTACCTCTTTCTCTGATTTTCAGTGATCTTTTCATATAATTTTCACCGCTATTTCGTTGTTAAGCCCAATGGAGAATCTGAATTGGCAGATAATCGAGGCTGGTTGTTCTCTATGGTGTTGACGTTTTATAACTTTTTATTTAATATTTTGTTCTGCTGAAATACTGAATTTTCAGGGTCGTGTCATAGGTTGTCACCACATTTATAGACTGTAAAAATGTGGCATGAAACAGGTTTAAAACATTCTTACCTCTAAGTGTGCTTGGATTTTACGTCTCTACAAGGAACAAGTCTTTGTGTGTTTTACCTCAACACGATAATGACATGTAACACATGTCAGGGGCTCAATATCCCAAAATAACAACATCTTGATAAACACAACAGCAAGCAAGAGTCGAGCAAGGCTTGTAGAAATGTACATAATTGATCAGACATATTCAAGCTCTTGCTTAGTGTTGATGTAGTAGTGTAAGCATCGCAGAGCAAGTTACACCAAGTACGTTTAAACGGCTTAGAGGGTTAACGAAAAGAGTGGGTGGGTCGGTGGAGAGAGCCCACTTCTAATATGAAGACAGAGATCATATTAGATGACTAGATATTAGCTGCAAAAATGACAATGATAAAATCTTATGAAAATTGTGTGAACTCACATTCTTGTATAACTTAACGATACACTGCTTGGGTCTTAAGCTTCAATAGCGCATTTGTACTGAGCTGAGCCAATCGAGACTGGGTATTCTCTGTTATTTATTTGAAAGTGAATAGGGGAAGGCAGTTGGACACTGGTAATTGTGATCTAGATGAACATTGTACATAACATCGGCGGCAATTATCTTTTATATGGCAATAACACGATAGATGGAATTCCTGGTCGAGGCCTAAATTTTGACATTTAAAGTTTTCACACATTCAGACGTAAAGACGAAATATTATCATTTTCCTGTTTTGGCGGCCATATCGGAGGCCATTTTGTCCGCCAGTTTGGATAAATCAGATTTCTCAAGCTCATATGTGTAAGATACATAATAGAATACTGTTTTCAAATGAATCAATTTGGTGTACAGGAAAGTTAGTGTTGTCATAGTAAATCTTTTAATATGTAATTATATATTTCTTTTTTGTGTGTAACAGGATAGGGTTGGGATAACGAGTGGTCATCAGTTTGGTGCAGTTGATGGAAATGAAAAGCAAGCCATTAACTATCTAATACTTAGTTCTTATCTTAAAGTATGAATTAAGTTTTAAGTTATTACATCAGTGCAAATCTACCAGAACGTAAGATGTACTTATGGACCGAATTCAAAATATCTAAACAGATCTCAGTTCTAACCTCTCAAATGCCACATTCCTTATGGTGCATGTGCTCACATCACTATCTGTATTTTGCATTATTTTGTAGTGTATACCTCGGAGTCTGTAGGATTCTCGTTTTAAAACTGTATGCACGTTGAATCATCAGTCTACAATATCAAACGACAAACGTTTTATAAACGTTAGCAAAAATGAGGACTCAATTTATTTCAGGGCTCACATATACTGTACATACAGACGATTCTCAACTTTGAGTCCGGTTTATTAAGGACGTCTCAAAAATGAGGCTGCCAGGCTGCATTTTGGTAAGTGGGATTTGGGGGTCTATTTAGAGTCAGTGTATTCGGTACTCATAGAAGATCGTATTTGGTATGCAGGTTCAACATTTATTCAAAGCAATAGGTGTACGCAAAAGTTTTCTCCACATATTTCTTTTTTTCGATATTTTTTCAGTAATTTTACTGGGTATAGTATTCTGGTTTCAGGAATAAGAAAATGAGACTGAAAAAGATATTCGGGACTCAGAAGAGAATGGGGTTGGCACCCTAAAAATGTAGACAGGTTCATCCACGTAACGGTGTCTGGCCCAGAAAGATTAGTGACCTGGAATCCCCACGGAATATGTTGATATACTTCTACCGTGTTCATGAAAACCCAGTCTTGGCAGAGCTGTATTAGGCGTTGAACAGAGAGACAAATTTCCATGTTCTTGTTTCAATACCGAAAATACTTAAAAGTAGTTTCTGAACACATCCTTAATAAACGTGGGATGCTGTTCTTACTATCAATCATTGGTTTGTCTGGTTGAAGTTGGAATGTTGCGGAGTGCGGCAGAAAACAACAAGCAGCCTATTGACGGTCTTCCCATGGTGATTCCTGATTAGTATAGATCCTCAGCAACCTGTGCTTGTCGTTCGAGGCGACCAAATGGATGCGATGTCCTGGCTCCACCACTTTGTTGATTGTGTCATCGTGACCAAACGACTTTGGATGTTGCTCGTGATGTCAATCACTGGTTTCTTTCGTCCATACTCGATTATTTACCGTCATATACATGTAGCTTGAATATTGCAGCGTTGACCAACGTAGAATTACAGTGGATTCGTCTATTTGTTACACACATGAACGGTACACTCGGTGGTGGATGTTCACATCTTCAAGTGCATTCGTTCAGTGCATTTTATGGCGCTTCAGAAAACCATTGCATCACGATTTATCTCCCTTAGACCGATCAACGGCCAAGTGAATGTAACACGTCCTCAGTGCAGGGACAGGAGAGCAATCGGTTCTGTGTTTCATAACGCGAAACAGTTCAGTAAAGCTACCAAAACAAATAGTACATTTAATGTATATATGTACAATAGTAGTTTCAGGTGATTATGTTGAACACTGATGCTCATATTTTACTTATATCCATCCGTTCTGCTTATTGTCCTCAGCATAGCAAGCAAGGATTGGTGTCATGTAAATATCCACCCTACACAGACACAGCTCACACCACCTCTAGTTATAACACAGAAGGATTAGCTCCGTGTTGCACTCGCGTTATGATTACAAACATGAAAAACACATCATACGGACGATCTGGTAATCGGAAATAATTGATCCACTTTTATTCGGAGTTCATAATACATTAAATTAGACAATGCTCAGAATAGATCTCAATAATACGATCAGTACACGAAGAGCCATGTCTAGCTACTCACATAAATCCCCCAACAAAGACGTGACTATAGTTAATTGAAAGGAGACTTGTGACATGTTCACTCACTTACATGTAAATACCTTCACCGAATCTGGTCTACACACGTACATACGGCCACGCCCACCAACACACACTCCACGTGGATACTGGACACCATCCTGTGATGTCAGTATGTTTTTAACAAATTGTCCTGACTCGGTCAGATGGAGGACTCTGTGTAGATGGTAGTCTGTCACCAGAATGTCGCCTGTGCTGGTGCTTGTGATACCATGTGGATCTTTCAGTGCTGTGTCTCCTGTAGGGCTATAGGTGAACACCTCATCTCCCTCGGGAGTCAGACACACGACACACGTGGATCCCCAGTCAGACACCAGGATGTTTCCTGTCCTCGTGGTACAGAGGTAGAGGGGATTCTTCAACATGTATCTACTAGGTTGGCCTGGACAAACTGACTTCAGCACGTGTCCCGTCATATCCAGGATATCAACACAGGGAGGGGAGTGGGAACCTGCTGCTAGTGTTGATGGTGTCAGAGACGTTATACCGTAGTACCGTTTGCTGGTTGTGATGGTTGACAACAGCACCAGGTCAGGGTTGACTTGTACTGTTACAATCTGTCTGGAACCCGGCACAGTGACAGCCACCTGGTTGTCCTTCAACTTTGTTATACCATACGGATAACCACCACTTAGACTGAGCCTGCTGTGACTTTGCTTCTTATTCCTGGTGTAGAACGACTTCATACTGTGGTTGTTGTTTTCTGTGACTACCACTATGTCTGTACCATTTACCACTAACACCGTCACGTCAGTGGGGTATGTCCCAGATGTATCTCCTGCTACTCTGACGTTAATGGTGTCCTGTAACACAGGAGTAGCCTTCAGGTCCAGCACGTTAATGGTGTCTTGTAACATAGGAGCAGCCTTCAGGTCCAGCATACCCTCATACAGGACGTCTATCCCACCCAGCTGTAGATCGTCCACCTTTCTCTTGACCCTAACCTTTGTCTCTCCAGACAGGTCAACTACGTGATGGTGACGGGAAGATGGAATTCGTCTGTGTACTCGAATACATAGTTCACAGAGTGCATCGTCACAAACAGAGCACCAAGATGTAGCTGGAGTTGTCTCCCCTTCCTCCTTGCAATAACTACAGTGAGTCGTATCTGAAATAGGAATGTAATCATGTAGAGATATTAACATTTCTATATCACTACCTACTACAGAACTTCATGTAGCATATCACTCACACGGGTGAGACAACATGCATCAATAACATCCCAATACGACGTAATGTGAAATATTATGTAAATAACATTGGATTTGTCTCACTGATAGAAATCGTGAAATAGATTTCAGAAAAAAAGCAGCGATTGTGTCTGAGACAGACCTTAGGCCACCTCTCTTTCGAATCACGTCAGGATAATCGTTGTTACTTGTTAAAACAGTGTACATGATACGAATTCATAGTCTACATATAGTCTGCAAACAACTTAATAAATGACTTTCGATATATTTTGAAACCACACAAAATATTTTCTCACTGAACACGCATTCCTATAATCCAGTCAGGTGTGGAGTTACCTGCTTAGAAATAACATTTATATTCATACAAACCACAAACTCTCACCTTTAGATCCGGGGCCAAACGAGTCCAAGAGTCCCTGGATGACAAAGCTAGGCTTGACGTCATCCGCCCACTCCTCCACTGGTCTCTCAGGGGCAGACACTTTCGTCATCTTGCTGCAGAATGGACACAGGAGAGACTTGGCACTGATGGCTTCCGGTCTGGTTTTGGTGTAGTTGACGACACATTTCCGACAGAAGGTGTGATTACATACAAGTGTACAGGGCTTGTCAAACACCTCTGTACATATCGTGCATGTTAGGAAGTGTTCTGTTAGCTTCTGGGATGTCGCCATCTTACCTGGAAAAATACAAACCAGTCGAGTATTGCCTGTGTACAAAACATGCACGTCTTATCCACAACCCGAGCTTAACACTCTTAAACACTACGGCCGACCTCAGTTGTGATAATTTACTCTCCCTATCACAAATGTTAAAAAACGATTGTGTATCCACCTATTCCCCAAACTGGAATCATCAAGATCTTGAAAACATAACCCAATATCCCGTTTAATAAAAACATCATCGCAGACATTTTTAGACGAGTATCACTTTTGCTTACTGTACCTGTGCGTGTGGTTTGTTGTTGACGTGTGTGTGTGTGTGTGTGTGTGTGTGTGTGTGTGTGCGCGCGCGCACGCGCGTTTCTCATCTCTATAGCCACCCGTTCACCAGTCTGTATATATACATATATATATATATATCATCTCACTATGGAAATAAATCAACATACATATTTTCCGTTTCATTAAAACCAATCTTCCCGATATTTTATCTGCAGGGTATTCGAAGAAAAGACACGTCTTTAGTTTCGATTCTACACATTTTGTAAGCCCCCCGCCTTTCACGACTTTAGCATGGATACAGGAAGTATTGAACTACTCATATAACACATTAACAATGTCGTCAGTTTATCAGGACATGTACTTCTCGAAATTCATAACCAGTTTTGAACACATGAGGTGATACCTAAGTAGTTTTGTTTGGTTGTTTGGTTGGTTTTAGTCCGCTTGCTGAAGTTGGAAAATAAGTAAAACATTTAATGGCCTGACAGTACGCGTTTGTTATCCAATGCATGTCATGGTGACACCGAGAACCCAGAAACAGTGGCCTCACAATGGCAGCTCGTGGGTGGTGCTTGTCAAATCATTGTCACAGGCTGGCTTTACAACATGAAGTGTGTGCACTTGTGAACCGTGTGCAGTGTATCGATCACGTGACAAAGTTATGGGGTGACACGAACTTTTTACCATATCGAAAGTAGGAGAAATTATTACAGTTCACATACTACCGTATCAGATGTGAAATAATATAGTTATGTTGAAGTATTTTCCCGTATGGTTTACTGAAGCATTTGTCTGGGATCATGTCAGTAACAACTGTAACAGACACACGTGATATATACATACAGATATGTCGGGATCAGTCTCAGTATTGAAGTCAAGTGGCCGATCAGAGTATTTAATGACAGTGGATCTTTAAAGTATTCCGATTAGCCTACATGTTACATTTAATTAGGTGCCCGGTCATGAGAATCTGCCTGGAGATGACTGTATAGTTAGATGAACCCTTGTTGTGTTACCAGTACACAGTAGGACAGGTGTGAAGCGTTATAACTGAAGTAGACGCAAGCCTTGTGACAACACACTTACCTGAGACAAGCAGATAACCGCTGTGGAGGGAAATTGAGCTACCGTCAGTTTCGTTACCAACTCGTTTCATAGTAGGACAAGCTGCTTGCAGGTCACAGAAATAGGGGCGAATGGAGGCGAATGGGCGTTTTGTATTTGTTCTAAATACACTGGGTCTAGATTCGATTATTTAAAAGCCGCTTTCATGGAGCTGGAATAATCCTGAGTGCCGTGACAACAACAAACAAACTTACAGACTGATATGAGACAGCTGTAATATTGATGACAGGAAAACTACAATTATTTGCTCGAGAATAAGTTACGATACTCACTTCTTCCGGGTTTCCTTCACCTGTATAACATAATTATTTACCAACATACAGTGGCTAATATGTCTGTAAGCTGCTCTCAAACTAATTGTTTCAAGCTCACTTGGTGGGTACAATGTACAATAAGCACAAAGTCGTAAATGCTGTATGTTTCTGTACTTTGCATCAAGCATCGATAGCATAACAGTGATTACATGTTTGTGTTATCACACGCAAACGTATATGTACATTGGATTAATTATTGTGGAACATATATCGACAGCAGGAACAGTGATGTCCATGTTTTCACATACAACATTCATCTTTGAAGCATGTATACTGGACCAAATTAAAAACTTCACAATCCTAAAATTTTAACATTTTGACCAGTTATCATTGTGGGCCCTTATTGTGTATTTAAACAGTAACGGCCACGTATTGTCTTCAGGTAACACTCGTTTCTGTGCAGGTGAATCGATCAAAATCATGTGCACAGCACAATAGTGGCAAAAGTGTTTTTTCACGGGCAACTGGTGACGAGGCCATAACACCGCACGTATTTTCAGCCATACGTGCTAGCAGTCATTAACAAAAAAAGAAAAACACAAGAAAACAAAAGTCTTTACGGCCATTTGTCATGCCACGCCTTTCAAATGTGCAACGTGAACGTGCCTACGGCATGTTGCAGACGGGAACGTCCGTAGCTGAAGTCGCAAGGACGATGGGTTGTAGTCCTGTTTATGATTTACAGACGCGTCTACAGCAAACGGGTACGACCGCTGATCGAACTGGGCCAGGTCGACCACGTGTGACGTCACATGCAGAGGATCGTCAGATTGTCTTACGTCACCTCTGTAACCGATTTTTGACGGCTACATCAACAAGAAACGAACTGTTTAGGGGTAGACTGAGTGCGCAAACTGAAACTGTTCGAAACCGTCTGAGAACTGCTCATCTTCAAGCACGACGGCCATACTGTGGGCCGATTCTGACTCAATTACACAGACGTCAACGTCAATTGTTGGCACAGTGACACTTACGATGGACTCTGAGGAATTGGAATCAAGTCGTCTTCAGTAATGAATCCCGATTTAATCTTCGATTTGCTGATGGTAGGGTGAGGGTGTGGAGGCGCCGTCATGAACGTTACGCCCAGTGTTGTGTACAGGAAGTTGACAGTTTTCGAGGCGGAAGTGTTATGGTGTGGGGTGCTTTCTGTGGCAATGCACGTTCCAGGTTTCTTGTCATCCGTGGCAACCTCATCGCTGCTGCTTGCCGCGACCGGGTACTAGCACCAGAACTTCTGCCTTTAATGGCAGCACATGGACCCGGTTTGATCTTCCAACACGACAATGCCAGACCCCACACAGCACTTTTGACAAGGAATTTCCTTCAGAATCCGGGAGTCAACGTCATGGACTGGCCGTCAAGGTCTCCCGACCTCAATCACATCGAACACGTCTGGGATGCTCTTGGCAGAAGTCTGCGCACTCTCCAGAACCAACCACAGAATTTGAGAGATCTTGGCACCATTTTGCAGCAACAATGGCGTCGTCTTCCCAATCATGTGTTCACAAGCATCACAAGGTCCATGCGGAGGCGTTGTGTGGCAGTTGTCAACGCACATGGTGGCCATACACGCTACTGAACTTGTGTGCCAACAGATTCTCGTGCTTGGGACTTATGATTTAAACTGTTGATGTTATTACCAAATACCGTGGGTGCTTGGAACAAATTATGGTTACCTTCGTTAATTAAAATCCTTCTTTTGACATTAATGATTAAAAATTACCTTCTCTGATACATTTGTCCGTTGTATATTATATATGGGATTACTTTTAAAAATGTCTTAGTTTTTAATTTAACTGGCTTCACAAAACATCGCATCACCATATATTACCCTTAGACCACTCAGTCCTAGAGTGCATGTGGCAATTCCTCCCATCAATGAGAGAGCTATTGGTTCTGTGCTTCACAACACGTCACAGTTTAGTAAATTTAGCAAAAGAATTACTGTAACTAATGCTTAGCAGCCGTTGGGACCATCTGATCACCAATTTAGTCACCTTCTATGACGTACAGAAAATCAGGCGACGAATATAAGTAACATTCTAGAGTCGTTTGGCTGTTTTCGTGCTCCACGTCATATGATCCGCCTATCTAACTCTGACTTGACTCTCCTGGACCTGATTGCCCGGCAGGACACGTGGCAGAACAGTGGAACATCCATCTGCATCAGTGTCGTCGGAAAAACGTCTTTGAAGCTGTAACAAAACAGTGTTGCTCATTTGTGTTTTCCAGTGTGACGAGCAAGGATTAGTGTCTTGTAAAAATATTCATCATACACATACATATCTCACAACATCACCAGGATACAGAGTGGAAATAGCTCCATAACAACTGAAATTATGATTACAAACATGTAACAGGAATTTATTTTCAGATATAATTCCATATAATATAAACATATATTTTATAGATTCCACATACGTTCAAAATAAGTACGGTCAAAATTTAAAATAACATCAAAATTCCATATAAAATTCAGATATGTTCTACTGTTGCTGGACAGGTGTTCAGTTCTTAAGAAAAGCAAGTCATTAACTATTTAATGCTTAGTACTTATCTTAAAGTATGAATTCAGTCTTAAATTTTTACATCGGTGCAATCCAGCAGAACGTATGATGTACTTATGGACCGAATTCAAAATATCTAAACAGATCTCAGTTCTAACCTCTCGTATCAAATGCGTATCTGTAGGACTCTCGTTTTAAAACTTTATGTACGTTTAACCATCATTCTACATTATCAAACGACTAACGTTTTATAAACGCTAGCAAAAAATGTATATTCTTTTCTTAAAATGAGGACTCAATTAATTTCAGGGCTTACAGATACTGTGCATACAGAAGATTCTCAACATTCAGTCCGGTTTATTAAGGACGTCCCAAGAACGAGGCTGCCAACCCCCATTTTGGTAAGTGGGATTTAGGGGTCTATTTAGAGTGTATTCGGTACTCAGCGATGTGGACTCATAGAAGATCGTATTTGGTATGCAGGTTCAACATTTATTCAAAAAATGGTGTACGCAAAGGTTTTCTTCATATATTTCTTTTTTTCTGTAATTTGACTTGAAATCGCACCCTTTTCCCAATGCTTTTGAGATTTGTGACGAGTAGTATTCTGGTTTCAGGAATAAGAAAATGAGACTGTAAACGGTATTCGGGACTCAGAAGAGGATGGGAATGGCACCCTAAAATTGTAGAAAGGTTCATCCACGTAACGGTGTCTGACCCAGAAAGATTAGTGACCTGGAATCCCCACGAGTAGTATAGGTAATAGGGGTTCTGGACCACTTCCACTGAAGCAGGATTTGTATACCTATACTGCTACTACAGGAGGAATTTTTTATGCCAAAATGATGATGCGATTTAATGATAGTCATGAGATTAAGTTAAATTGGCTCTAGCTCACCAATACCTGGGGCCAATCATTGCTTCTATTTGTATAAAAATGATGATGTGATTCAACGAAAGTCGTTTTAAAAGAAATATCAATATTAATTAATAATGGATAAAATTTACTATAGCCCACGAGGATATTGGAAAGGTGTAGGAGCAATAAAAAAATTAGCCACCGCGGCTAAGGTATCTAAAGATGTGGCCAAGGATTGGTTAAAGAAACAAGCGATGTGGCAGATATATTTACCGGCACCGCGTTATATACCGAGGAAGAAGTTTGATATTTTTACGACGAATCAAGTTCATCAGGCTGACCTCTTGTTTCTTCCCCATGATAAGGTAAAACGCAAAACGTATAAATACACTTTAACGGTAGTGGATGTGGCTAGTCGATACAAAGAGGCTGAGCCATTAACATCGAAAGAATCAACAGAGGTAGCTAATGCACTGAGTCGAATATATAAACGCGGACCGCTAAAATGGCCTAAGCTATTTCAAGTAGATCCCGGTCGCGAGTTTATGGGATCGGTAACTAAACTGTTAACAAAGAACGATGTCAAAATCGTCCGTGGTGAAAGAGAGGCCCACCGCAGTCAAGCTATCGTCGAAAGATTTAACAGGACATTAGCGGAACGTTTGTTTGGCTATCAGTATGGGATCGAAATGAAATCGGAGCGATTGAGATCAACCGAATGGGTGACACGATTATCAGCCGTTGTATCAGCGCTGAATAATGAAGTAACGAGATTAATAGGGAAGAAACCATCCCATGCTATTAAAATGATATCCGTGACTTCCGAATCTTCAGCACCGAGGAGAGGCAAAGAACGAAAACTTCCGGATAGAGTAAGGGTAAGATATTTATACCAGGCCGGTGAACTCGAAGGAGGCCTACGTCGCGCAACCGATCCCATATGGTCCCTTAAGACGTATAACATTAGTCGATTGGTTACGAAAGAAGGAGAGCCTATTCTTTATTATCTTCAAGATGGACCGGGTAGGGCATTTGTACGAGAAGAGTTGTTCATAGTTCCCGACGGTACGGTATTACCACCATAACCATAAGCATAGGTATTTACACCATCATTATCAATCCATCTCTTTGTATCTAAGGGGGATAATGATGTCTTGTTCATTCTTAATCCATATATCCTATGATCGTAACTTCTTAAAGAGTTCATCTCGTGTTTGAACGTTCTACTCTGGAATAATGATTCTTTATACTGTTCGTGTTTGATATGCTTTTTTACAACATACTTCTTAACACCCTTAGCTTTTCTTATCTCTCCATTATCGGACTTCTTTATAGTATACATCTTAGGTCTTAATCCCACATACTCCGCTATAGGGGTCCCAGCACATTCATCCTTCATCTTACCTAACACCTTTTTATTTACAACGCTGTGCAGTGGATTATCTTTAGGGTAATCGCTCGTGTCGTACATATCTATTTTTTCTGCCATATCTTTATACACATCCTCGGTTTGTATTTCCATCAACAAAGAATCTGTGTCGGTATATAACACCTCGCATCTATCGCCGTATTGCTTCTTAAGTTCGTTGTAATAAAAGTCATACATTAAGTGTTTTGACAAGTCGAGAATACTCATACCGACGTACACCGGTCTGTTGAATTTTATATTACTCTTCTGCATATGCAACGCGGCTAAGTCGTTATCAAATATCTTGCTT